ATTACAATATTATGGGTCGATTTTTTTTAAAAAAATTACCATTAAATTATTTAGGTCGTTGACATTAAATATATGAGTTATTTTTTCTTTTGTAGAAGTTGGTTTTTTCTTTTTTTCTTTAAGAGTTTGCACCTTCGTTTCTCCAATTTTTTTCATTAAGATTTACTTTTATCCAAGGAGGATGACAATGTAAATGTGAGGTTGGTTGAGTTTGGAATGGTTGTTGCCTTTGCTTTACTTGTTGAAAGCATGGTTGGGGATAGGATCTCTATCTAAATTTTTCATCCTAGAAACCACTAATATCTTTTGTTTAGACATGATTTTGCTAGAATCCAACTTAACCATTAAATCAAGTGCTTCAATCTAGCTACAATATTTATGTAGTCATTATATTATTTGATTTTACGTTTTATAAGTAGTATAATCCCTCTAGCATATTATCCAATTCAAATTAGTTGCGTAAACAATGAAGCAGCCAGTACAGTCTCCAGTGGTGCAATAGAAAGACTGAGCCTACAATATTGAGGTTTGTCGGTGTACATACACCATATGAAATAAATGTACCAATATGCATGTCGTTGTCTACTTACTTCTTTCACATATATATATTTTTAAAAAAAGGTAATTTTTTGTTAGGAAAATGACATAGCATGGGAGGGAAGTAAATTAGGCGACAAACATGAAGACACAGAAGTCATGTAATAAAATGACAGGAAAGAAGAGTTTAGGGGAACAGGGGCTTCTGTTGTGGTCCGGCCTATGTGCCACGGTCTCAGATGCCCATGGTCCATCACGTGCTCGATGCTGGTGCCTGGTGTGCCCGCAATGTTGGCCGCATGCATAACAATAGCTAGTTTTTTTGGACTCTTTTTCTTTCCCAACTCTGTCGTTAGGACTTAACAATCACATTATCAAACAAAATTCACAACACCAACATCAAACTGACTAGATCGATGGATTGTGATGTTGTTTGGAACTTAACCTTGTAGAAGAGTGCAATCTGTTGTTATTAAATGTTTTAAAACCTTAAGATTTTAGCTCTAAGTACTATATCGTAAGTCTAATGGTATAATTTCTCTTTAGTTTTATAGGTGTTAGTTGTAAGATTTAACCAATCACTTAAATAGTTCAATGATCATTTCCTTTCACTGAAAATAAAAAGTTCTGAATTTGAGTCGTATAATATGCGGATGAGATCATTGAGGTGGGATAAAAGATGAAATATAGTTTTCTTTTATCGTGCAACAAAAAAAAAAAAGTTGTAAAATTTAAACTTTAAATCTGACCAGTAAAATGACATCCTTAACATTATATCCAACTCTAGAAATTGGCTGCACAATGTTTGATCACTTTTTGACTTATAAGCTTGCGCCTCAAGATGGGGCCAAACAATTGCATTTTGTGATGTGAATTGGGCTTTTGTTCGGTACTTTTCCAATTTCCAAACCAAACCCGCTGAATTCCTTACTGGGAATTTATTTCCACATCTCTTTTTAATCTAATCTCATTTTCATTTTGTGAATTTGCTTCTTGCTTGAGAAGTAGATGATGCCGTGTAAAAGGCGTTGCTTTCTTCAAAATTGTTAAAGTAGTATGTTCTCTTATGAGTGTGAATTAAGATCTCACATAAAAAAAAAAAATAAAAAAAAAATAACTTATATATGTGAATACTTATGAAATTATTAAATTAATCTTTTGATTTCAATGTGATGTCGAAACATATAATTAACCATTCAATGCTTAGCTGTATGTCTCCCCAACAAAAATTCATTTATAAATGCTAAAATGTAACATTTTCCTCTAAAACAAAAAGTTCAATTGTGAGAAAAAAAGAGAAAAGTACCCGTAAGCAAGTTGAAGAATGAGCGCATCATACCGGCCCAAATTCAACTAACATTTCTCCTATTTATTCATTCTCAATTTTTTCTTTTAAGCACTAGTTTCCCTCCTTCTGGTATCAGATTCAGTTCCACTTTGGGTCAACATAACTAGTATTATTATTTCCAATATCTTGTCATTCAACTAAACCCCTGCATCTGCGTCTTCATGTAATCATACTTGACATAGATTGCAATGTCGTATGCTTAAGTTAATGATATCAAGCCAAGTTCATACATCACAGATTCACAAACATAAGCACATTTCCAGCACCAACATAAACAAATGAAAATGGTAATAAAAAAATGTTCATTTATTTATAGAACATCTTGTGAGTTGGAAAATTAATAAAGAAGATTAATAAATAGTGCATAAGACATGATAATTTCAGCTAAATAGATTATATTCCATCACCACTAATGCCGCTGAGATGATGACAATCAGGATCCAATGTTCGGAGTCCGATGTAGAGAAAGACTTTCGATAATGAGAATTGCCTTGGTTGAAGTTGATGATATCTGTTATAGATGCCTGCAAAAGGGTAAAGCTCTGGATGTTCCTGGTAGCATTAGGATGACCCCCTGTCTTCAGGGATCTTTGTGGAGTAGAACGCTTAATGGGAGAGGGAGATAGAGATGCAGTTTGGTTTTGTACATGCTTGAATGGGTTAAAACTAGACGACCTGCTGCTTGTATTGTTACTTGTTTCTTGCCCTTGTGCACCCTTCTCTGTACTCTTATCCTGGATGAGAAAAGAAAGGCAATTTCATTTCTGAAGTATATACTTAAATGTAAATTATGTCACCATAGAATGCATGGAGTTTCTTTTCCCCAAAAAGAATGAGAACTAAGCTGTGTTCTGAATTGGATCAAGCTGCTAAAGCTGACAAGCACAAGAAGTTTCTAGTAATTTAATAGCCTGTTTCAGATTCTTTCATGAAAGAAGATGAAACTGATAAACAACTCAAACAGCCATATGGAATTCTTTTTAACTGAAATAACTGAACATTTGTATTTTGTATACCAATTGATATAAAAGGAAAACTTTTGACAGCCTCAAATAATAGTATTATTTAGTTTGTTTCTATCTTGTTCAAATTTAAATGCCGTTTAAGGAGCTTTAAAGTGCAATTTCTACCTCTGTTGAAGATTCAGTATCTCCTTTATCTCGTTCTGTCAGCATGTCTTTTATCTGACCTTCACACTTCATTTGAGAAGATCGCTTTGATTTTGAACTCCTGCGCCTGCAATTACAAAAAACACAATAAGACAGTCTGGCTCTTCAGTTCTAAAGCATCCCATGCAAATTCACTACAATAAACTGTTCTCAGGATCAAGGAAAATTGTCTCTCATTTGAATGAAAATGAACCTATACAGTAAACATGCTAAGAATTCTGTTCAAGAATTATAATCAAACTATTTTATATATTATGTTTCTTTCAATTTCCATGGAACAATAAAGCTTTATTTACCAATTGGTCACCAGCAAACCCTGTAATCTAGTGCTTGCCACTCCCCCCCCCCCCC